GATATCGTCCTCTTTTGGAAGGCCAAACAAAGTAGTTTCGCTTTCACAACGACACACACAGTGCCTTCACGACATGGCAGCCGCATAATTCTACAGTGAGAATAAGGAGGGTTTTAGGAGGGTGTGGTTGACTCTTAACTTTTATAAAGAATATCTCTTTGGATTTGAGACTTTAGTCTTTGCAACTTTACAGATCTTCTTTATGCACCAAGAGCTTGTAACATTTCAAAGAGAAAGGAAAAATTGAAATAGCATCATATGACGCCTTTTAGGCCAGTTCATACAAAGGACAATAACTAAAGTTTCAATAATCATTCTGTTCACACCACAACTATAACGATAAAGGCATAGAGGAACCATATAATTGGAAACACTTTTAGAACGATTTTTACCAGCTGATGAATTATAAAAACAATGCCAGCCAAACAGAATCCATCCTGCTTTAAAGATCTTGAGCATTTAAAGCAGCAGACTACAAAATTTCAGCATGCCCTTATAATAAACAGAACATTATGGTGCGTTAAAGTGGACGCTAATGTAGTTATCGTTATAATTCTCTTTATAGTCATAGTTCTTGGTTTGAATGGGAGATGGTTGATGAAATCATATAAAATATGGTTGCACATGTTCACATAATTGTCAGGCAGAAAAGAACCTATCAGGATGTTTCACCACAATATCGAATGCTAAATGAATGCAATTTCTATTGAGTGGGACCCGAGTCATTATGCTGTTCAGGGGGCCCAGAAACTGTAACTATGCCCCTGATTATAATATATAATTTATAAACGCAAGGTGCTGCCATTTGTCTCATATATTTTTTTTTTTAACGTAATAGCGGACGCGGTCATTTTTAACTCGACTGTTCAAGGTTTCCGCTGTCTGCCGCTTCCAGTTATGTCAGCTGTTTATTTTGTCGTTTGACTAATGTATGGTGCACGTGGGAGGTGTGTGATGCGGAAGGCAGGTCAGTACAAAACATTTAAATAAATACCCTCTTAGCTTATATATAATTTATAAACGCAAGGTGCTGCCATTTGTCTCATATATATATTTTTTAACGTAATAGCGGACGCGGTCATTTTTAACTCGACTGTTCAAGGTTTCCGCTGTCTGCCGCTTCCAGTTATGTCAGCTGTTTATTTTGTCGTTTGAATACTACAGTTTCTCAGTGTGTGATTTTTTTTTAGATGTAAATGATTATCCAGACCGCTGCTGAAGTAGCACAGTTATCATGCTATATTTGAACCGTAATCACCATAGACATTTAAGGGACAGAAGAGTGTGAAGAATATTTATGAGTGCTTGGGTAGCCTGTTTTTTTCCATGTTATGTGCCACTTTGAGTTTTGTAAACAGTGTCTTCTAACTGGGATTCATCAATTTCGTTATTAATATTCACAATCACAATTTGAAATGGAATACTAGCATAATCCTTACTGCATATTGTGCAGTATACACTAAAAATTGCATACTGTTGTTTAAAATTAGTATGAAGCAATGCATATTATGCCATTGACATGTTTTATTCAGCAAATGACAAATAATCATGCTAAAAACAGTTATTTTATATTACAATACTGTTCAAAAATTGGGGTTCGGTAAGATTTTTAAATGTTTTTAAAAGATGTCTTATGTTCACCAAGACTGGGTTCATTTGATCAAAAAAAATAGAGTAAAACTGTAATATTGTGAAATATTAAATTTTTATATTTTAAAATGTAATCTATTCCTGTGATAGCAAAGCTGAATTTTCAGCAGCCATTACTTAAGTTCATGATCCTTCAGAAATCATTCTGCTGATGCAGATGATATAAAATGCTCAAGAAACATTTCTTATAGTTATCAATGTTGAAAACAGTTCTGCTGCAAAATAACAAGAATAGAAATACATCTAATGCTTTTTTTGTTTAACATTATACATGTCTTTACTGTTCCTTTTGAGGAATGTAATGTTTTCAGATTGGTTTTTAACTTTTTTTCTTCTGTATATGTGGATACTTTAAATAGTAAACATCACTAAGTGGGTTTTACTAACCTGTACATAAACACACTTCTCCTTTAGTTCCTGTCCTGGTGTGAGCGCTACCACCTCTAATCTGGGGACATAAACCCTATTCGCACGGGATTAGTATTATCTGGGGACCTTGTGTGATTTTGAAATCACCCCCCCCAACAACATCTGAATTTCGTGTGGTGCATTCGCACGGGATAAGCGAAGCTTGTGATTTTACTCGAATTTACTGTCTCCCGGATACTCGGATGTCAAGGCTTTGAGAGTCCCGTTCTATGGTCCAGATGGATTTAAAAAAAAGAAACTAATATAGTTTCGTGCGCTGTGTCATTTACATTTCACCAGGTTAAAATAATATATCAAGCTCTGTGCTTGATTTATTTGTAACACATTAACCTCAAAACCTTTTCAGCTTTCTCTTTCTGCAAATTGCTTAAGTTCATGATCCTTCAGAAATCATTCTGCTGATGCAGATGATATAAAATGCTCAAGAAACATTTCTTATAGTTATCAATGTTGAAAACAGTTCTGCTGCAAAATAACAAGAATAGAAATACATCTAATGCTTTTTTTGTTTAACATTATACATGTCTTTACTGTTCCTTTTGAGGAATGTAATGTGTCCTATGTGAATACAAAAACTTGCTGACCTCAAACTTTTGAATAGTAGTGTATGTGTAAACACTTTTGGCAATCCAATGTAAAAAAAACTGAACCAAGATAGATTGCAAAATGTGTGGCATATGTTACGATCCCATCCCCAGTCTAGGGTTGGGAGTGGGAGGAACAGGGAAGAACTCTGCCACCAAAATAAGATCTTTTTTCTTACAATGATTAAAGGCTTCAATTGTAGGACAAAGAGTAAATTCAGTAAAGTCAAACTCCATTATCCGTATGCCTGCAACACTTTCCTCCCCACCTACAGTCAAAAACAGTCAAACAATTTGAGAGAAAAGAGTACTTACCAACAATCAGTTAAGAGCCGAGCGGACGAGCCCCCACTTGTTACGATCCAATCCCCAGTCTAGGGCTGGGAGTGGGAGTAACAGGT